AAGAAGTAACTATGCATCACTGTTTGCTGAAAATATTGTGCATTTTTTCCATTTCCAAGAGAAACTGTGTTAACATCTGTTCAAATAAAAAATCACCTAAATCTGTTATTTATCAAGGGGTGCCTAAACTTTTGCATAAGACTGTATATATATCCACTGGGTCAGATTATTCGGCGCTTTGGCAATGTGTCTTATCATCTTTATGCAGATGATCTTCAAATTTATTGTTCTTTTAATGATTCAGAGTTTCACCTATTAGCGATATTATTAGAGTGCTTGTCGTCCATTAAGATCTGGCTCAACAATAATTATCTTTGCATAAATTCTAACAAGACTGACACTTATTGTGGCACCTGATAATACTAAGATTGCCGGAATTAAACAACACCTTGGTTTGTTGGGCTCTTCTGTCCAGTTGAGCCTTCGAAGCCTTGGTGTTGTGTTGGACCAGGCAATGTCCTTTGACTGTCATATAAGACAGTTAGTCAGGAATTGCTTCTTTCATTTGAGAAATATATCTAAATTAAGGAAGATTTTATCTAAGGGAGATCTTGAGATGATTATTCATGCTTTTGTTTCTTCACGCATTGATTATTGTAATTCTCTTTTTACCTGTTGTGATAAGTCCATTTTAAATCGTCTTCAGATTGTCCAGAATGCAGCTGCGAGGCTCCTGACAGGAACCTCTAGAACAGCTCATATCACTCTAGTCTTGTATTCGCTCCATTGGTTACCAGTCAAAGCTAGAATCGATTTTAAAATCTTAGTGCTGACATTTAGAGCACTACATGGGCAGGTGCCTCAGTACATTATCGATCTGCTGACCCCATACTCCCCCAAACGTACTCTTCGTTCTGTAAACCAAACTCTTTTGGTGGTCCCCAAAACTTGTTTTAAATCTCGGGGGGACCTGTCTTTTCAGGTCGTAGCTCCAAGACTGTGGAATGCCCTACCCTTGACTCTACGTATGGCCGAATCTGTTGATGATTTTAAAAAACAGCTGAAGTCACATTTATTTAGACAGTTTTTTAATTGATTGGGTTTATTCATTTTATAAATTGTGTTGTGTTATGTGAGTACGTTTAGGCTTATGTATATTATTTATCTCTTTTTATCTTTTGACTTTGTAAAGCACTTTGTGACCTTGTCTGTGAAAGGTGCTATATAAATGAAATTTACTTACTTACTTACAGTGGCAAAGCAACCTCTTAAGCAATTAGTGCTAATGTGAGCAACTTGACCCTCACAGAGAAGAACCTACTCAGATAATCAACTGCTAAACTGATTGCAAAGCAAAACAATTACTGTATATACACTGTGCAACAGTATGAAACACAACAACACAGAAGAGAAAAACTAGATGGGTAAACTGGGATTAAACTTTGAGCACAGAGAGCCAGGCTGTTTACAGCTTGCTTACAGAGAAAACTTTTAAACTGGTGCCTAGTCATGTACACAGAAATAAGGAAGTTGTCGCATTTTGCAATAGCTAAAAATCTTCTCTCTTTTTCACTCTCACCATCTGTCACATATAATGGAAGCTAACAGCATCAAAGGGTATCATCTTCACTTTCAATTTTTCTCTGCCCCTGATCTACACATGTTGCTAATTTGAGGATGTGTGTCTTTTTATCTCATATGGAATTAGGCACCTGAGGAGGACTTGGCTCGGTGATGCTTGCTGCGAACCTCCTGGTTAAGTTTGGAAGGAGGAGCTGGGTGGGTCGAGACCGCAGTCGGCGGCAGAGGGCCTTCCCGCCTCAGACTCAGGTGGAGGGTTTGCTCAGCAAACAGCGTTTGGATCAGTGACAGGTCCAGACCTGACACACACTGACCATTTAGCACCAGGATCTCATCGCCTGGACGCAACCCTGGAACACACACACGAACAGAACAGGCGTGGATCATATATATGATCCATATGGTGATTTCAGGGTTATAAGTGTAATATTTAAGTGAGTAGACACCTTCATTGAAGGCCAGTCCATCAGGAAGCACCTCGCTGACAAAGATCCTGCTGTTTTTCTGGTCGTCTATGTTCCCTGTCACTGCAAAGCCTAGTAAGAGGCGAAGACAGAAAGATTTACACATACAGTAGACGAATGGAGACAAAGAGAGTTAGACTGACAGAAGGATTACATAGAGGATCAAGAGGTGCTTAGAGAATTATAAACAGAACTAAATCAATGACCACGTGAGGCTGACTCACCAAAGTCTCCAGTGCCATTCGGCCTGCTCATGTGCAGCGCAAACACATTAACTGGGACCACCTCCAACTGATCGTTGACCTACAGGGTGACGCCAAACAAATCAATACACATTAAATAAAGAGCAGATCATTAAGAGCTCTGTGTATCCATGTGTGATCATGCACGATTGCCCTCCTCACCACACTGTGGAGGAACTCGCCAGGCGCCACGTATTGGACCTCCACATCTTGTCCCACTCCTCTGTGCAGTCGGAGGCAGTGCAGGCCCGGGTCCAGGTGTTTCACCTGTTTACACAAGAGCCATTACAGCTGTCTCCATACACAAAGTCATCCGGCATATTTCATGCACCAATGTTCACGCTGATAGCTGCTGTGTGGCCGAGATGTGAATTATTCACCAGCTTCACACTTAGTGATGAGAAATTTGCGATAAACAAAAAAAGCTTCGCCCATGGGATTACATGAGGAAACTGTGTGAAGCTGGACACTGGATGAATATGTGTGTTATTTCAAGCCCTTGGGAGCATAACACAACTGAATCCCAGCTACTGATGTTTCAACAAAGACCATTTGACCATTAACCAGACCACACCTGAGGTACATTTCTAGAACATTAATTTTGTTTACACATGTGATCAAACTAGACAACTAAATCTAAATTACATCACTGCATTCGCCTGGTGGTTTTTCTTTTTTTTTTACTGTCAGGACTGTAGTTTTCAGTGTGTAATGAGAGATCATTATGGTGACATAATTTCTCTGAAAACTGGCCATCAACCCAACCTTGCAGGCTGCAGAGAGAAGGTCAGCGGCTGTCTGGTCTCTTCTGACAGAAACTTGGACTGTCAGGCCGCCTGGCATGTAGACAAACATCAGCACATCTGTGGCACAACTGGTGCTGTCCCACACAGGGACATCAGGGGGCGACATGGAGTAGATACTGGCCAGCACATCCAACCTCTGTGGGTGAGGGAAGAGGGGAGGGGAGGGAGGGTGAAGCAGGATAAAAAGAAGTGGGTGAGCAGCATTAGATGATGGAGAGAGTAAACAGATGAAGGGGTAAGAGGAGGTAAACAGAGAAAGAGGGAAGCAGTAGGGTAACGGCACACAAATCAATAGAGTTCCATTAGTCTAAATGCTTGGCTGTGGATCAAGTAGCAGAGCAAAGATGTCATACAGTTAGCCTTTCAGGAATTCATTTGACAGCACAGACAGCAGTTGCTCCACATTATAGTCACTGTAATAGCCATGTGCACAAGAAGATTAGTGGACCGGCAGGTCCGGATAATATCTGTGCACTTCTCTGGGACTTATTGGGTTTGAAAAACCACAAAAGTAATTTTGACTTAAATAATGTATAGGAATAATTTATGTCTACATGAATCAAACTTTCAGGAGGTAATTATTTGCCAGTGGCATCAACAGTGAGATCTGAACTAGGTATTATGGGGGTGGGAGGGTAGCCCACTGCTCGGCCTCATAAGCGGCCATTTGGGGGTTTTGGTTGCGACTGTGTGTCTCTGGAGGGAAAAGCACCATTGCTGCAATGTGGGGTGATGGGGGATGCCACAGTGCAGCCTAAGACCACAATTATCAAGGCCAAAGATCTTAAGGAAAGGCTACTGAAGAAACCAGTGATTCAGCATTTCTAACAAAAACAAAATGAGTTCTCGGTTAAACTGAAACATGGGACCAAGAGGGATAACTGCCTTAGTGATACAGCACGGTTGGGCATAGAGCGATGGTTTAAATGCCTTCAGGCATCATAAAAATAAAGAGTGGTACGTGTGTGAGGCTGTCTGTCTGGTCTGTATGTGTATGAGCTTTTCTAGCCGTTTCAAAAGGTGGCTGTTTGCTGCTTAAGAGGACCGCCCCCCCCCACCAGACACAAGCCTAAAGGGACAAGCTATGGCCTATGATGATCGACTCAGCTCCACACACAAAAACAAACATTCTCAAAAAATACAGGCGCGCACAGACAAACATCTGCCTCAGTTTCCATCTAAATGTCTTTTTGACTAGCCAGTGCCAAAATAAAGACCACAGATGTTCTCACCAAAATGTTACCTTAGCCTGTAGGGGTGGAGGAACACAAAGTGCCACTTCAACACACACTTCTGCCCTCCTCTTTAAGGATATGAGGTCATGCTTTCACATGGAGGATGAAAAAAAACAAGGCGTCATGGCAACCGGTTGTATAAGTGCCTCGTTTGTGTCCCAGCAACGTGGCATGACCGGAAAACTAAGATTTATTCCTGCACTGACACGACCAGTGGCCGACTAACACTGTACACTCATTCATTGTCGGAGAGGTTTGTAACAGAGCGACGGTTGCCTTGTCAGTGTCCATGAACAGGTTTCCAAGAGCACAGGCAAGGCACGCGCTGGACCACAAGTGCTCTGTGTGGTCAAAGTGTGCACTCCGTCTACAGTATGTTTGCATTCAGCCAAATCATTCAAAGCAATGCTTCAGTAATTCCTCTCAAGTGTAGTAATGATTTCCAAGTAAGCCGCCCTCCACCTGGGAGCTTCTAAAAATGGAATGCAGAGTAATGGACGGTTTAGTGGCCTCTGCAGAAATACTTTCTTTCAACTGAGTAACATAAATATCACTGTACATCTACAAAAGAATCAGAAGTGTAGTTGAAGACAAACTCAGTTTCCCTCTATATCATCTATTAAAGGAGTTTGACTCTTTTTTCCCTAAAGCTCCACAATTCCTCTTTCCACCAGTGTGACACACTTTTCTACACAATCGCATACACAAAGGGAGAATAATGGCCACCCAGCCTGGCTTGCACTGGTGCCTGCTCCTCTGCAATAACTTCAAAGTTAAAGCTGGGGTGTGTATTTGTGGGTAGTGGAGTGTGGTGAGAGGTGGTGACACAGAAAGTGGGATCAGTATGTCAGGGACAGAAGTGGTGTAGTGGAGATCACAAGCCGGTAAAATACTGCCATAACCGTCCTCTAGAAGTTATTCAACAGAAGCAGGCAGTTGTATACAATTTATATACATGAAACTGCTGAAAATGAGTGTGAGCATGCAGCGCTAAGTTAGAATAATCATTGTTTAAATAGCATAAGTCAAAGATTAGTGTCATTTTTTTTTTCTTAGAGTCAAAACATATTCCCTCTCTCTGCTGCTGACAGGAGTGGGTGGATGGAGGATTTGAACAGCAACTCTAAAGCCAGTCAGTGTGAACTTTTAACCCCTATGGAGGCCGAGGCAGCTGCTGCACTGACTCTAGAGGGGTTTACTTCTCTCTGCTTTATGCAGCAGTCACAACTTATAGCTAGACTGTGTCAGTATATCCACTGCCTATAACCACATAAACAAACACCCCCTACACCTGAGAGCATACACCGATCAGCCATAACATTATTACCATGTTCATGTGTACACAGGAGTCAGTGCAGCAGCTGGTAGAATTGACTGTGTATAAAAGATGGACAACCCCACTGTGACATCACCCATTGGTTTTATGAAGAGAGGTTCTGAAGATCAAGTCTGGCCGTTGCCATATTGTTCGTGCTTCACTCCACCTGCTAGGTCTAATTAAAAAATGGGACAAGAGGCGGAGGGTGACTGGAGCTCACTAGACTGCTAGCGGCTAGCCACCTATGGCAGGACCCCCGTGCCTGTCATTCAAAGTGGCCACGGCCTTAATTATGTGTAACTGTTAGCCTCAACATAATTTAAACAGGCGAGTCAATAAAAAACATGTCACCCCTGTACAGCTGGGGAAATTAGCTATATAGACCAAAACGGTTTTGTACCAGGCTGTAAACACGTTTATTTCTGCTGTAGAGTTGGGCATTTCAACATGGGACTCTATGGGGACTGCTGGTTTTAGCACTTCCACGCTGGCTTCATTTCTCAGCCTCGGAGGCTGCTGCTTGGTTGTTTGGCACTCTTCTATAAATCCGTTTGCTTCCACAGTTCTACTGTCAGGAAGAGCACAGATGTGTCTACAATTCAGTGAAAAACTTATGTAAAAGAAGTGAAAACTGGTCGTGAGGACGAGTTAGAGAGAATTGTTTAGACAAATCCAACAGCCTCACCACTCTAGGTGTGATATCACCACTACAGCCCCTGACTCTTTCTCTTCATAGAGACCAATGGACAGTATTTCTCATTTTCAACCATTTGAACAAAGATTCAAATACATTTCTAATCTTTTGAAAAGTACAAATGGAAGTTAAAAGTTGAATCTACAGTAGGTCAACCTCATCATCAGTGAGCCATGGGCGTCCATGACCCTGTCTCCAGTTCACCATTTGTCCTTCCTTAGACACTGTTGGTAGGTACTAACCACTGCAGACCAACAACACCCACCAAGACCTGCAGACTGGGAGATGCTCTGACCCAGTCATCTCACCATCACAGGTTGGCCCTTGTCAAAGTCACTCAGATCCTTACACTTACCCATTTTTCCTGCTTCCAACACATCAACTTTGAGGACTGAATGTTCACTTACTGTCTAATATACCCCACACACTGACAGGTGCCACTGTAACAGATAGTCAGTGTTATTCACTTCCCCTGCCAGTGGTCAGAATGCTATGGCTGATCGGTGTAGCTGTATGGGTCATACAACACAACTTGGGCACACACTTTTACCAAGACACTGTACCCTTGACTTCAAAGAATTAGTGGTCCAAAAGGTGCAAAGTCATCAAGACTGATGGTGAAAAATCAATACACCTCCAGTATGCACTCTTTCTTCCCTCCCACCCTCAGGAGTCTTAATCCCCATGAAAACAAAACAGATCTTTGTGATGAGCCGTTTTCCACATTCACATCCAAAACACTTGACTGAGGAGAAGCTGCCTTATTCAATGCAAGATATTAAAGCGTTGCCCCAATGAAGGCTCTTATTGTTTCGTCAAACCACTTTCTGTTTTGAGTCCATTTCTAGACCTTTTAGCAGGGCACTTTTAACACTCGCCACATTCAGCGCACTCACACTATGAATCATGGAATCCTGTGGAAAAGTGAACTTCATAACACCCACCCTGCTAAAAGTGTCCACTGCAGCATCCACAGCCAAATATATTCATAGAACACAAATTATCTGATGGGCACAAGAAAAATTCATATTTTCTAGCTTCCTTTTTACATTAAGGGCAGAACAGGCTCAGAACAGCCCCATTTAAAGTTTGCAGGCATTAGTTGTTTACACATTCTCCATTAAAGGAATATTTTGGTATTTGCTATGATGACAATATGAAGCTGCAGACAGGTGACAAAATAAAAATCTGAACGCTTGACCGCTACAGTGAGAATATCTTTTGGAAAAATGGAGTTCATCGCTCCAGAAGAGTTCAGAGACTTGCAATCCGTGCCAAGGAGCATTGAAGCTGTTCTGGTGGGACATGGTGACCCAGCACCATAGGCACTTTATGATGGTTTGCCCCATCTGTAATGTACATTCAGGTGGCAGTTAGCTTAGCTCAGCAGAGTTTTTACACCTCAGAGCTCATATGATTCAACAAACGAGAAGCAGCATGTTAGTTAATGAACCTTTGAGGTTCTGGTGGGCAGCTTTTGTTAACTTCGGTCCAAGCCAGGCAAGCTGTTCCCTAACCACCTCCCAGATGTAGCTTCGTATTTAACACACAGATATGAGAGTGAGGCTGCACTTCTCATTTAACCCTCATGAACAAAATAAAACCCTAAAATGTGGAACTTAAAAGGATGATACCGGTTTATTGCAACCTGGGTTATATTTCACTAACTTTTATCCAACATCCCCATTAGTAATAACAACACCGTCTTCAGTCAACAAGTTAACATCTGAGATCTAGGGCTGCAGCAAGGTAACTAATAATAAGCCTCGTTTACGACCCATCAGATTGTCTGATCATTCATGTGTTTGCTACATGAGACTCGGGTGTAGCGATTCTGACATGTTCTGAAATCTCAGCAATGACTTTGGCGACTACAAATTTATCCAATAGAAATAACGGCCAAAACCACGACTCAACTTGTAATAAAGCAGAATTGTTCTTTAAAGAGCAGTAGTCTCATTAGTCACCAGCTGCTGAAATAAAAACCCTGATCACAAGAATAAAGAGAAGTGGAAGCGTGAGGACAGTGAGGGCTTTCACACGTTCTTGGTGCAGGCATATAAACCATTCAAAAATCTGCAAATGCTGTAGTTCCAACGTCTGGCTGCTCAAATGGCCAGAATTTACAGTCATTAATCATTCAGCACATTTACCAGTAGACTCACGCATTCCATCAGTGCTTCTGGTTAACACCTCAACACAACACCATCCATTAACTCAATTATGAGGTGAATTGGACCCCTGTCCTCTCCAGAGTTTAACACTGTTACTGTCTATTTATCATGCATATAGCTGCAGATCAACATGAAAGGAATCTCTGCTTTGACCCTGGACAAGTAATATAAACAGACACACACTTTGTGACCCCCCTCACACACACTCCTCATGTTAAAAATGTCTGTACACAGCCCACTATCAAAGCCATGACAGACAGCTGAGGTCAGAGCAACAGCAGGCCTGTTCCTGCCATGGCTACTTCACGCTTAACTGGATAATCCAGCACATAAAACGGTGCCACAGGATGGACATGACAGATGGCAGTGGAATGTTTGAAAAAAAGATATCAAAGAGCCTCAAACCATAATGGACAGACAAAGCTAGTGACTGCTATGACTCACCTCGGTGCTCCTGGGAGGCAGGGCATACGTTTGACCTCCAGCGTCGCCCTCAAAGACCTGAAATCAAGAGAGACAGTCAGAAGTACAGACCGAGGGGCTCCACACTTACTGAGTCATAAGCAATTAAGTGCCCAGCCACTTCAGCAACACAGTACTAGACACACAGTGCCATTATGCAGTTAATTAAAAACTACGTGTGGCGAGTGCAGCGCTTTGATACTGTTTCCACGCAGAGTCTGCAACCTTTGAAGGTGCAATGGTGAAAATACTCTCTGTGCATGTGAGTGGAAGGGGTGTGTGTGGACAGTGAGTGGTTTCTGTGTGGCAGAGAGATGAAAGCTAGAAACAGTCTAGTAATAGATGAGAAGAGGAACACAAGCCCTCCCTCCACCTCCATCTCCACATTAACATGCCAGTGTCCAATTCTTTCACTTCTTGATCCATTCTATGTTCCTCTGCCTGGCTTGTGATTGCACAGCATGTTGTGTGTGGCCCAGTCTTAGAGGGGATTCTGCAGCCTCAGAAGGCTTAAACAACTCTATAATACAGTGGTGACAGAGAGCTATCTGTTACATGAGGGTGTGACTCCAGCCCTCACTCACACAGGCTCATTTATCAGGTATTGCTGAGATACTTTGTCACATGGCGAGAGAGATATAACAGACAGAAATGGGTCTGACAAACTCAAAGAGGATTGTATTTTGCTGTAACTGAGTTCAAGGTAGATGCCCTGCAAAATTCCCTATGACAATATGCACACTTGACTTAAAAAAAACTGGTATACAGGAGAGAGGATCTCTAAAAATAATCCCAATAAGCTTCCTCTACAAAAACAGTCTCTACCTCCTGTTATGGTATGAAGAACCCTCATCTGACCTCTGATCAGCAGACTTCAGTAACTCTCTCTCCCCAGCTCAAGTACATTTATAAAGTAGCTCTAAACAGTGCTGCTTCACTGTAAACGGACTAATTTTAGAAAGCTTTACCAACTCTCCCACAAATCCTCAGAGCCTTCTGGCCTACTTCCCACAGCCGGCCAGCTCCTTACTGTATTCATAGCACTGCTAAAACAGATGAGATGAGAAAATGAGATGGAAGGAGATGATAGGGGAGACCAGGAATTTGGGGCAAGGTTGTCATGTGCAGCGTCGCAGTGGTAAATGGGATTTAGGCTATGACAACACAGAGTCAGTGGGAAAACTGAGGGAGACACACCTCCAGGTAATGTTCGGAGAAAGCAGCGGTTGGAGCAAGAGGACAAGGCTAAAGGGAAAAAGGAAAGTCAGTCTCATCAGTACCACAAGAGAAAAGGAGATGATGACATCACTTAAAATGGCCTACAAGTCACAAAAGGAAAACACTAACTTACAAATACTTATAATCTTACAATAAACAAAAACACACACAAAACAGCAGGTGACCAATTTCAGTATCTTAAAAAAACCCTTGAAGCACCAACAGCCAATATCCTTATTAACCTGAGTTAAGCAAAAACACCAAAAATCACTGAAAAGAGCTTGTAAGAGAAGAAGGAAAATGGGAAAAAAGGGAGGGAGGCTGTTTAATATTTAGCGTCTTTACACCAACCATCTGCTGGTGTCTGGGGGCTGAGGAGAGAGTGAAGCATGCTATCTACCGCATATGGCTTTTAATAATTCATGTGTGTGCTGCAGCGTCACCTCAGCCGTCTGCACTGTGAAATGTAACTGGACCTAGCCGGCTGGAGTTCCCCAGAAAATAAATAACACACTGAGACACACACACACACACACACAGAGACACCTCATCACTGACACAACCTAACTATTGAGAGCAGGTGGTGGGATGGACGAGCTAAGATAAGAGCAAACGAAAGAGGACGGGGAAAGCAGTCAGGGCTCATCTACTGAAGAACATAAATGGCTCTTAGCAGAGCCAGCTCCAAAGCAATACGACATCACAATGACTTCACAGCATAAAGAAAAATGAATAAGATTGTCAATCAAAACCACACTCCTCTTCTTTAATCAACTAATGAACAGAGGTCCGTAAAAGATGTGAGGAAATGAGTGCTTCCTGTGGCGATTCTTAAAATGGACCACAGAGAGTAGGGAATTCTCCAGGGCTGTACCTTCAGGGTGCAGAGTGGTGAATTGCTGCATCAGTCAACAACCTGCCTCCATGAGTCTAATTACTAACCTGAGAGGATTTAGACCCCCCCTGCACCTGGGTAAAGTTTTTACGTTTTTATTTTGATAGGAGGTTTGTACTCAAACTTAGCAAGAAGCAGAGGGGGGGTGGGAGCTTATGTGCTTGTAATTAATAAAATCTCCTTTAGGGGGAAATGTGCTCAAATCGCTCCTGACTATAACAATCTCTTGCTTTCTGTCATGCCACTGAACATGTGAGTAAGCAGTAGGGTGACATGTTTTCAGGTTGTTTTGTTAACAAATACATACAGTTTGCACTGAGTGTGTAAATATCAAGATGCTAAAGATCAAAACATTTTGAATGCTTGTTCCTGAATGACTTGAGGAACTTGCATCTTGGTAACTATACTGTATTTCAAATGTGTGTGTTCACTGGTACCTGTGATGCAGAGGGCCTCTTGTCCCGACCTCTTTTCGTAAGGTTGTCGAGCCCTTTGAGTGACGAGAAAAGGCCTCTCTTGCGCTGCCGGTACATCAGGGACAGTGAACGCCTCCTGAGCGTGGCCTCATCTCTGGAACAGATCTAAAAAGATATACTATCAGGAGTGAAATCACTAAGCTCAACAATAACAAAAACAAGCCATTTAATCCAACCATCTTAATTAGGTTTATTTTCCTCCAGCGATGCATAAAGCGATTGTTTGCAGGATGCTTTTTTGTTTTGAACGATTAAAAGGTTTCAAGGATACTGTTAGGCATCCAAAAACATTACAGCTGAAATATCGCATATTAAAAGCAGTGCTAGAAAACCACTAAACAGGGCACACTGCTAGTCTTGATTCTTTATTCTGCATTCGTTCACTTGTCCCTTCCCAATGCCTGAGGTTTCTCACCAGTGCATGGAAGGAAGAGACGGAGAAAATCCCCAGGCGTCCCAGGGTGGTTTTGGTGGGGCGGCTAGCGATGGCTAACAGGCTCTTTGGGTTGGGCAGCTCTCCGCCCTGCAGACTAGCCAGGTAGCAGCGCATCCTGAACAGATCCATGTTAAACTTCTCCAGATTCTGCTCCCACTGCTGGATCTAAAAGAAAGAAATAAAACATTGGCTTGGTAGATTTGGTGTAGGTTTGGAGAACGGGTCGGGTGGAATGGGGGAAGGCAGAAAAGGCAGAGTTGAAACAGGAGATCTCGGGTCATTTGAGTGCTTTCCATCAAGCTGCAATTGCTTGCAGATGTTGGTGGAGGTTAGACAGTGAGGGATGGCTGCACATCTAGCAGACGAGTGAGAGTGTGCAGTAAATCTCAATGCCTATTTTTTATTAAGTCTAGAGTGGTGATGATGTTGCACAGACCACCCATAACAACTTCCACCCAACACACACACACACGCACGCAACACAAACCCAATTTACAGTTGCCTTCCCCCTATCCCTGGTCACACTGTGTAAGCTATGAGAAAGTGCTTATTTTGTTGGCTGGAGACTAGTTTTAATGAAAACCCTGACGTTAAACAACCCTCTGTAACAATTGACTTTAATAGGCCTCGTCTGCATGGGGAGTTCATTTACAATAACACACCCTATGGTCCCTTTAGGTCTCATTCATATGGTTGGCATTCTTTAGGACTAGAACCAAACTCAGCAGGGACAAGTGGACAGTGTTTTATGAATTTTCAGACTTGCACAAAACATACCACGGGCCCAAACAAATGTACAGAGCTGTGCAGGTGGCCCCATTTAACAAGCCTTGAGTCAAAGGCATTCAGCTGTTATTCCCATTCCACACGTGGACCATGAGGCCATTAGGAAACAAGTGCTTTGGTTTAAAATGACCTTGCATCTGGTATGTTATACATCTAAATCACTGGTAAAATGATCACACACTAGAGTGAGGCACTGATGGCATCCGCATCAAGCTGAGATTACTACAGAACAAAGCTTTGTGAGCACTTGATACTGTGGCAGAACATTTTCCCAGGTTCTCCATGCTAACACTTAAAGCCAGACTACACATTTTTTCCTCATATGTCATATATAAGCAATAAAACACTGCCTTGCTCAGTTCTATACATTCAGGGTTTGTTACTGCTACAGCCCTACTCGTTCTCATATGACAAGTAGCTTTTAGTGGCTAATGTTACAGCTGTATAAGGGCCATTATGACTTTTCTCTACATTATATTTTAACATTTAGCATTATCCTATAAGTGTCACTTGTGGCTGTAGTTACACAGTCTTATTTTACTGTGTACAATGGTTACCAACTAATTACTAGCGACTGGTTTAGACACCACCCTCATCTTTTAACATCTTCAAGGTGAGTTTTCTTATTTATATAATGATAGTGACATATGGCATTAGTGTTGAGCACCGAACCAAATGATTTACCACAGGCACACGGATGACTCTGGGGCCTGTGTTCTCATCACTTAAAGTTTACAAACATGTATTCCTTTCCATTTCACTTTGTCAAAAGGCCTTTCTATCAAGTCTTAATTCCTGGCGTTACTCTTCTGAACCTGAACTCAGAGACCTTGCCAATAAATCCTCTGCTGTATGCTCGGGAGTAATCTCCACAGGGAACCAGAGAACATGCCCCCCCCCACACACAATATGACCCATGGAAACATGTCTCCCCAATGTGTCATGACCAGTCATCAAATGCCTCTTGGCAAAATACATGTTCTCATCTGATGTGTGTACGTCTACAAGATTTGAATTCCGCTCCGTCACTGGTCTTTTGTAAACAGGGTCTGTAGTCGACACTAAACACTGTCACTGTGAACCATCCACATTATTAGTGTGTTGTTGGACAAAACACACAAACCCTCGTGTGTGTGCTAATTCTGTGCACCAGAGATGCATTGAGTGTAGTATCAGATGGTTAGTATCAGAAACAGAGAGCTGGACAAACAGCTTCTTAAGTGTTTCATCCTTTTAGCAGTACATGCTCAAGTGGGAGTGCATTTGGATCCAAACTGGATACTGCCTGTTATTTACTCTAAAGAGCTGATGGCCTTAACCTTAAGGGGTTAGGTCTGAGCCTATAATGTAGCTATAAATATATCCATAGCCTATATATTCCGGCCTTAGTCCAAGCACAATAATTGTGGATATCTGCCTATATCAAGTCTGATCCAAGTTATCTCTCTGCAGTAAATGATGGGTAAATGAGTATCTGACACATTGAAAGTGATCTGACATATGTTTTCAGAAGCTACTTGATCCAAATACTGGAGGTCCTGTTTCAAAAACAAGGTTTATAAGCTTAAATTGCTGATGTTATATACATGAAAAAATAACTGGGGGATGCGACTTCTAAAACCTACAAGATCCTTAAGAATGAAGATTTCGTCCTTGTAAGCAAATCCATCATTCTATTCTCCGATCACTGTATCACAATGTTATGCTGGAATTGATTCAATTCTAGTGAGAAGTTGGAAGATGGCTGGATGTGTTATGAAGGCATTATTGACTAAATAAGATAAGCTCTTTCCTTAAAAATTAGAAAAATAAGACAAATTTCAGAGTTGCTGCTTTGGAAAATCTCATATCTATGTATAACTATCACACTAGATCCTAGCAGGCTAATGATTTATGCACCATCTGTGCTTTTCAATGGTCAAATATTGAGGAATATCCTAAAATAGGCCTGTGGATAAAATGTGATTTGATGATTCATGTCAGGGTGCGTCACTGATGGAGAGTATTCTTTCAGAGATGCCTATATGTAGTCTATTGCTTAACGCATCTAGCAGGCTTGACTAGGTACAGTGACACAATGAACCAATATCAGTGACACACAGGGCACGTTTGGGCACATCTGGCCTGCATACAACTTATTTACATCCTATTTCAGAGCCATTAAGCACAGCAGACGTAAGCCTGTCTTTTAACAGATTCTCAGCTTTTCTCATTTCTCCTCTGGAACATCTGCCTTAGCTCTTTGGAAAAGTCCCAACGCATAACAAGTCTTTCAGTGCAACTTGATCATAGTTGGTTAGTGTGTATGTGAGCTTGTGAAAGTGGGCAAGGGCAAACTTCAAAAAAGTGTACTGGCACTGATTTCCATAGACATAGTTGGGGGTGGGCATAGACATCAAAGTAGTGCCCTGTTGGTGCTAGACAACCCCACTGAAAGCTTGACTCTATCATCAGCCTTAAGGCGCCTGTATGAGAGTCCTGTTCCATATCCCTCTGACCCTATCACAGACCCCGTCTGTCTCTGTCTACTTTGAGGTGGCATACTAGCCAAGTGGAAACAGATACAAGATCCACAAATACACAGTTGGTCAGTCTAGGAGTCAGGCAGTGACATCTCTATTGGTCATTACCACAGTGATGCTCTTCAGAAGAAGACACACACACACACACACACACACACACACACACACACATTTCCACTAAGGGTGCTTCCAAAATGGACAGTGCCATTTTTGCTTTTGTAGTGCATGACCAGTCAGTGCACATGGACATGAGCAGCGGAGGCACTTAAAGTCTCAGATCATCTTAGTCACAGGCATAAAAAAAAAAAACCAGCTCGACTTTTCCAACATTCTACAACAAACACTAATTTGCTAAGCTATACCCATCTGTATTGTTCTGTATGTAAGCTACAGCACAGTACTGGGTGCTTTGGATTCTCCCCCAGGCTGTGAGAGGAGGAGAAGGAGGGAGGGGATAATGCATGTTGGGAGCCCATTACCAGGAAACATCTGGAAACGCAGTCTGATGCTCATGGATGTGAACCGTTCCCCTAGGCCCTTCACGGTGCTCTTGGGGACAGATGCATTTAGGCCACTTCACCCACCCACAGACAAAAGTAAAACACAGGCTCGTTGCCACACTCACAAAATCAAAAAAAGTAAGTTGCATACATCATGTGGCTGCTATGTAGAACAACACTGAGTTTAAAAATCTAAATTTATCACATAGAGAGCATGTTAAACCAGCCGATGTATCAATAGCACCCTATCATTTAAGTCAATTCACCTGGTTTTCAATAGCCTTGCGGTTCTTGGGGTTGCTAACCACAGTCATCTGCAACTCGGCCATCTTCTTCATCTTCCCGTCCATGTCGATCTTCTGTAGTAGGCCCCGCACCTGGCTCCGCAGAAGCCGCACCGTGTCCTCCTTTCCCTGGCGCTTGGCCAGCAGCGAGGCACTGGCAGAGTGGATGGCTGTCACCCAGTTCTCCAGGTCAGTCTGGTTGCTAGCCTGGTGGTGCAGAGAGAGACAAAGAGGCCAATATTACAAGCCATTACAAACCAGTGCATTACTACCGTGTTATTCTGACATATATAAAAAAAAGGATCATTGGGTGACAAGCTGGGCTTTACTGGATCAAGAGAACAAAACTAAATTAACCATGCCTCTGTGAGAAAGCAGAAATGCTGATGAAATCAAACATACATGTTCCCAGTTAATAAGCCATTTCATGATTATTACTCCCTCTAAGGTGATTGACTTGGAAGCAGCACACTGGTTATGACCCTTCACTTTTGAATGAAAATGACTCAGGTTATGTGAGTGGAAAACAAAAGGCTATTTTCATGTTACAAAGCTGATGTCCTCCTTTCTTGCCATGGTGCCATGTCAGTTCCACGGTGAGCGATTTTATTAGATCTAGGTCTGGACACTACAACATAGTGAAGTCTGGGAGGCTTGTAATCTCAAGTGGAGGAGGCTACACAGAAAGAGCTGAGGCTAGGCATGAATTCAGCAGTGACAAGTAGCTCAGTAAGAAAGTGGCTTGTGTGCTCAGACCACTTAGCTGAGAAGTTTGGTTCCCTCATGGACCAAAATTGCTCCTACACTTAAAGGAAGGAAAGCTAAAAATGTGTCAAGTACAATTTCACCATAACCATGTACTGCATGCTTTATAGCTATTCGTTTCCTTTTAGGTCTGTTCAGACATGTGCCTGCTCTTATAGCAGACAACAAATGCATAAACATTCATAAATGTCATTAAATGCCAATAACATCAAACATAATCTGCTTCACCAATGCCACCTTAAACCTAGTGGAGGATCACAAAGCCAGGACTCCTGTTACCTAAACGGATCTGAGAGATGCGTGTCAAAAAGTGTATCATCCAGTTTAACTTTCCCAATTATCTGCAGTGGATGTCAGAAGGAGGATATATCTAGAGCGCTGTGCTTCACCTGGAAGAGGTAGACATCTCCATACGAGTTGCTGAGGCAGAAAACGTTCTCTTTTTTGGGGTGTTCGGGAACGGCCTGGACGACGCTGTCCTCAGCCAACAGAGCGTAGCGAGGCAGCAGCTCCTGCTCTGGGAAACCTTTCCCATACGTCTCATAGAACAGCAACGTACAGCCTGAAAACAAAGAAGTGGAAACGATTATGTGAAATTTTTTTTTTTAATTATACAACTGTCCTTGATTATACCTTTGCTTCTTATGGTAGCCTTCACTAAACACTTAAAAGCTGTTTATGGACATGCACACACATTTGGTGGCCTGAATTTGGCCAATTTGGCCATAACAGCGTGGCCAAGCTAACCTGAAGAGAGGCATCAGAAAGGCCAAATTGGACTACGGGAGGAGGGTCAAAGACCATCTGGACAGCAACAACAGCAGTCAGGTGTGGCAGGGAGTCCAGCATCTTACCAAGCACAGGAGTAATCTCAGTGCGGCTAAAGGTGACGCCTCACTGGCAGAGGAGCTGAACCTCTTTTTTGCCTACTTTGAAGGGCAGCAACCAGACACAGACAAACTTCACCCTGTGGCCCACAGTGGCCCCACCGTCACAGTAGGGGAGCATGAGGTGAGGTGCACGCTGCGGGCCGTGAACTCGTGGAATGCTGCTGGACCGGACAGGATGTGTGCTGAAGGACTGCGCGGACCAGCTGGCTGGAGTCTTCACCAGGATCTTCAACCAGTCTCTGGCCCAGTCCACTGCCCCACCCTGCCTGAAGTCTTCCATCCTAGTTCCCCTGCCTAAGAAACCCATCATAACCAGCCTCAAAGACTACCGGCCAGTTGCACTCACTCCAGTGGTGATGAAGTGTTTTGAGAAAATGGTAAGGAGACACATTAAGTCATTCCTCCCACCAACATCTGACCCACAACAGTTTGCATACAGGGAAAATAGATCCACAGAGGACACTGTAGTCACAGCCCCACTTGGAGCATCAGGAGAGCTGTGCACGGCCACTCTTTGTGGGTTATAGCTCTGCATTCAACACCATCCTACCTCACAAACTGGTGGACAAGCTGGTGGACCTGGGAATTCCATATCCCACCTGCATAAGGATTAAGAGCTTCTTGTCTGGATGCAGCCAGAGGGTGAGAGTGGGCCCACATCCATGGCTCTCAGCCTCAGCACTGGTTCCCCACAAAGCTGTGTGCTGAGCCCCCTGCTCTACACCCTATACACCCACGACTGCACCCCCGGCCACAACGGCAACACCATTGTAAAATTTGCTGATGACACCGCGGTGGTGGGGCTCATCCCTGTGGGGGATGAGACTCCCTACAGGGACGAGGTGGAGAGGCTGATAGTGTGGTCCAGAGAGAACAATCTGCTCCTTAATATCTCAAAGACTAAGGAGGTCATTGTCGACTTCAGGAGGAAGAAAACCGACTTCTTCCAACTGTATATCAGTGGGGACCGTGTGGAGAGGGTGCTGGCTTTCTGGGAGGATCTGGCCTGGGGCGTGAATACCTCTGGACTGCTTAAAAAGGCCCAACAGAGACTGTACTTCCTATGGGTGCTCAGGAAGAACAACATCTCCCAGAGACTGCTGGTGTCCTTCTATCGGTGCTCCATTGAGAGCATCCTTACATACTGTATATGTGTATGGTACAGCAGCAGCACAGTGGCTCAGAGGAAAAAGCAGAGGGTCATTAATACGGTCCAGGAGATCATTGGCTGCCCTCTCTTCACTCTGGAAGAACTACACAGTTCCCGCTGCCTCAAAAAAGCTCAGAACATCATTAAGGACACTTCACACCCTGGACATTCACTTTTTGAACTGCTGCCGTCAGGTAGACAGTTCAGAGCAATCAAATCAAGGACCACTAGATTCAGGAATAGTTTTTGACCAACAGCAGTTACCACACAATGCTGCTAAAGTATAATAAGCCTCTGTGTGCGAGGGTGTGTGTGAGAGGTCAGTTTATTTCCTTTTTCTAGCAGTTAAGTTTTTTATATGGTCTTATTTCATACCAACTGGAGGTCACTCTAAAATTTCGTTGTACATGTTACAATGACAAAGGATTATCTTACATTAAAAGCTTACAGGAAATTAAGATAAGTGTGAAGGACAATCATTTAATATCAAGTGAGATGCCATGGTGAAGGACATGGCTGCAAGGAAGATGTAAAACCCTGACAGCAAGGAAACAGCTTGCTCCTTAAAACTGAATTAGAGAACTCTGGATAATCTGCTTAAATTGAGTTGTATTAAAACACAAGCCAGTACATTTGTTGGCCCAGTTTCAAGGAGAATGATGAATAATTGCTCCCCTCTCTTGCACACCTTAGACTGAAGCTCACCTTTCAGGGTCACCCAGTACTGCTTCCACTTGCGGCGGGTCACCAACTCTAGCTTCCTGTCCTTGTGCAAAGTGACGAGTGGTTTAAAAGAGAGCCAACCGGCCCGTCTGACCACACCCTGCTCCTTTTCAAAGAGGAGGTCCAGCTGCTCCATGGAGCCCTCGGCCGACTCACTGCTGCTCTCCCCTCCCTCCTCAGTGCCAGTGGACGGGTCTCTTCTCTCGCCTCCTCCCTGTCCAGTGCCCATTTCCAGCTCCCTCATGAAGTTCTCATAAATGTTCTGTCGGAGGGCATCGCTGGTCGTTTGGTGAATGGCTCCTGATGATTGGGCCCTGGAGGCTCCTGGGAACCAGAGGGCACTAGAGACCTGGGAGGGGGAGCTGGTGTCTGCTGTCAGGCCATCAACTCCACTGTCAAAGGCATCGCTTAGGTCCTTGTACCTGGTTTCCTGATAAAGTTTAAATAAATAAATAAAAATAAAAGGTGGAGAAAGGTGAGGGGAGCATTCATCAGTCACCATCAGTGGTGCTGAATTGCTTTGGAGATTCCCACATGAACTCAGTTGTTCCCACCTACCTTTAGGCAAAAACACGCACACCTCTATACGTAGGCCAAACCCTGTCAGCTTACACTAGGACAAATATCAAAGTGTACCCCTTTCAATTAGCCCAGAGCAACTGAAAAATTGGAGGAGAAACTTTTGAATAAATTTAGTCACACCACTTGAACTTACTTCAAAGTCTGCACTACAGTCTAAATCTTTCACTAGGGTATGAAAGTGGGACAGATTTCCTGTGATGGCACCTAGGAGGTTGGAACCCTACAGGCTGAGACAATTTCCCATCATTTGAGGTCTGCTGTGGCTTCCCAATTCCCCAAATGAACACTTGATGAAATTGCACTCTTTCATGCCTAATGACAGCCTACCTACACTTGACTAGATTGCAGCATCGATTCTGCCCTCGGCAGCAGTGTAGAGTACTCTCAACGTGTAGACACAGTGTGTGCCATCATGCTGAAGCTCATTCTTTCTTTGTTCCAGTGTCTCACTCCACTCTGCATCTTCTCCGTCCTTATTCATGCTGTCCTTCATATTAAACCATTTGGAATATGCTTAAATCATCAAAAAGACTGGAACAGTGCTAAAATGTGTTTACACATTCTTTGCTCATATGGAAAATAATAACAATCTGACCTATGAGTTCTATAGGGATATTTCTTCTCACATCCTGTAACCAGATAGCTTAGACATCTTGTTTAGCAACAGGACAGGAGTGAACCTCGTGAACCCACAGTGTTCACTTAAAGACACCTTTTGTTTAATCATTACGTCCACCTGCCACCACTATATACACAGTATGGGGGGCCTTCTTCAGCTTTCACTATTCACAGCCTGACCTTTTTCTCACCCTCTTCCAGCTGCTTTTCAGTACAATCAGGTTTTTGGTCTCTAGCATTAGAGTCACGGTGTGACCTTTAAACCCACAACAGAGCCCTGGAGCCCAGGTGGAGGGGAACCAGAGGTGGAGGTGCTCCTGATTTTTGATGGAACTACTGAAAGGAGGCCCTATGACCAGATGTTAGAGAAATATAGCCACTGAGGTTTGAGGGTCAACACAATGACCCCCAAGGGATTCAAGAACTTCAGTCTAAAGACCAGCACTTCAGTGTTACCATTTGCCTGGACTGCCCCCAATTAGACTATAACCAGCTGCAATGAACACTTAGTCTTCTGAAGCATTTATCTCTGAAACCAGAGCCCTGCTTTTAGACTGTCACCAATACCTTTTAGCATTGGCAATGAACTGTATTTTTCTTTAAGCAATCACATCTCATTTAAACATTTCGTGAGGATATCTGCAGGCTAAAAACATTGTCATTATGGCAAGCAGGACATTTAGAGGGAGGCATTACTGGTGTCAAGTGTGAGCTGTGTAACACTTAAAATAAAAGCTAACTGCCTATTAGGTATATGCCACCACAGGGTGGAGTGCCAGCATCAAGCCAAAGTACCTCATATATTTCACTCAGCATTATCTGCTGTTTAAGCACAAGGAGCAGCTCATAAATTCCTACTCAAGCAAAGCAGAGAATGCAATCTGAATACAGTGGCTGTTCTCTTCTGTCCTTTGGTTTGATGTCAAACCCAAAAGACTGAACAGCAATCCCTATTAGCGGATTTACTCTCTAAAGAAATCCCAGAACAACCACACAACTAGAAGTCATTAATGTTAGCATGAAGCAAGGGGCGGGGTTAAATCTTCAGCTAGGATTTCGTTTCACTCTAACAGAGCCTCAGAAAGGCTTACAGCTATTCTCCTGGCAGCGCCTAAACACTGTTCTGAAAACGTTAACAAGGCAAAGCTGAAGGAATTAATGCAGAAACAATCACTTTCACGCCTCAGAGACAGACAAGAACATGAGTTCAGGCTCAGGTTAAACCAATGTTTTGTGTCAAATTAAAGCTTGTAAGAATGTGGTGGTGGCAGCACAGAAATCCTATGGTTCTTAAAAGCCATGCAGAGGTGCCAGGGTCATTTCCAACCTGCTCTCTGACCTGTGTCTGCATGGTACAAGTATCGTTTTACTTCTGGGAAAATATATGAATGTATATCAGCTGTTTGCCCTGTGCCTCACGTGCTCGTACAGCATCTCACTGTATCATTGTTCCATTCCCACATTTTGTGCACTTAATTACAGGGATACTGACCACTCAGGCTACAATCGCACTTAATACCCACACAGTTAGATCAAAATGAAAGCGTCAAAGAGATTAGCATGCAGTACATTCAACAACTAATCCCAAATAATAACAATAGCCCATCAGATGTACCCACCCAGATACAGTCGTCCCGATATGTGCACATCAGCTCCTGACTTCTCATCCTCTGAGGATCATCCATGTCTTACACTGTAATAGGCAGTGCCTCTTATTCTTGTGCCATCCTCACAAAAACAACCCAGCACTGGCTGCCTTACAAATGACATTTTGCGCTGCCCTACTGTGCCATGTCCTCAGACAGCTGGTGTTGGGGTGCTAAGGACCAGGGGACGGTGGTTGGTTCCTGGCCATGCCAAGACAGCCGCTGTGGCTCATGATCAAATAAACCTTGCTAAACAGAAAACTGTTCATACCCAATGAGCTATTATTGTGGGATTAACTATGAAGAGCTACAGATGATCTACTGTGCATTTACATTACAGGGCTGTAAGTTAAACCACATCCATTGACCTAATGTTTTACGTACCATGTAGATAAAATCCCTGTGCAAAGCCTGTGAGTTATTGAGGACCAGACTAATTGAGTGTTATCCCCAGAACCCATCATGACCAACTAACCTGAGATTTCCTCTTATTACGGCTGAGGCTGCCTGTCCAGTCACTAAAGCGTCTGATGCGGTGTTTGATGGAGCCTTTCTTATGGAAGATTAAATCTGGCACACCCTGCTCCTGGTGCTGTTTCTGGCCACGAAATTGGACCAGGTCCTCGCTCATAGTGTGGGCTTTTGGCCTGCGACAGGGCAGGGTGTATGAGGAGTACTGCCGGACCTCAGGACATTCTTCCTCCAAGGGCACATCCAGGACAGATGCAAAGGAGGCTCGGTGTGGCTTCGAGCCTGGTGGAGGCTCCTGTAACTGGGAGTGCAGGTCCCTGGCTGTGTGGAAAGTAGCAGCCATTGTGGGGTCCCTGTAGAGGTCTGTTATAGACACAGGGGGAGACTGTTCAGTAGGGGAGTGCACCAGTGTTCTGGCAGAGCAGGGCTGGTCCTGCTCACAGAGCTCTGTGTTGGGTCCCCAGGGAGAGTCATACCAGGAGCCATCAGAACTCAGTGAGCTTCCCTTACTAGTTCTGGCTGTGGAGGAGGTAGAGGCCGGAGGGGGACCACTGCAGTGGCCATCTTGCCTGCTACCACTGGAACCAGGCAGACTAGGAGTGGAGGCAGAGTCTGGGTTTGGAGAGAACTTGAGGAGTTGTACAGGGCCAGAGGCCTCACCCAGGAGGAGAGGATTTCCTGAGGTGTTGGTGAACTCCACCCTGAGACTGCCATCCTTCTTGATCACCACCCGTGGGCTGCTCTGTTCATCTAAAACTTCATGTTCATCACTGTGCCCGTCCAGGGCATGGCCATTGAGCTCAGCCCCATATGGATTATCATCATAATCATCTGACCTATCCCGTCCTCGTATGCCACATCCAGGGGACCGATGCCAGCGACGCTCACTGGGGTTGCCCCTCGCTCCCTTGGAGACATAGTCATAACGCCGAGCGGAGTACGACTGCCGACTTTTGGGAGGAGACAGACAGCTGTGCCCAATACATCTGGCCTTGTGCCCTGAGCCCAACGGGACACTTTTCCACCATGTATGGGGTGACAAAGTATTATCTTTGGCTGAGCGGAGCTTCAGTGAACATGGCTTTTGTTTCCCAGGGAAAACGAAACTGGTGCCTTTGGGGCCCTGGATGCTGTACTGGCTCTCTGAATTTCCCATCACTGCCTAGAAACAATAAGAAAACCCAATGTCACTGTTATTATGTTGCTAGAAATCTAATGGTTACTTGCACAAAAAGCAGTATAATATATACAACCTGATGACATAATGAGAGCTCATCAGAAGCATAAAATTAACATATTTCCTCATAAACCGTAACAGCTACACTCCCATAAAAATCACACAAGTCATGTACATAAATTTGCAGTGGCTGTTTCCAGAGTAAAACAGCAGCAGGTCTAATCTCTTCCTTATGCCTTTCGAAAAGAAAAGTTCTAAGTACTTCTGTCACATCTGGCCATTAACCTGTATGGTTTAACCCCCTCACATTTTACTAATTTCTTCCATTCTGTAAAGCCAGATGAACAGACTTTAGGCTGTCAAGGTTGTTATGAGGGACAGAGTTCAGGACGGTGAAAAATCCTTTCCAGAGTGTCCACAACACTGTGACATTAGTAACAGACAAACGTTTCAGTTGATGCCACAGGGCTGTCTGTGACAGATTACATAATAGTTAGTCTTCAAGTCTTTGAATTAGCACACAAAGTAGATTACTCTCTACCGATCACAGGTTTGCACCCTCACTAAAAATAGTTTAGACTCTAATAGAAAAAAAAAACACTTCAGAAATAAATGACTATTTTAAAAAGACATATATACAAGGAGGAAGTGGCATCCATTCATAGATGTTTATATTCTATGGTGGATAAAAAAAAACTGACATTTTAATTCCACAACAAGTAAATATAATCAACAAATACTGTCTGGACAGTCCACATATGAAGGTTACAATTCTCAGACACACCTGCCTGATGGCCTCGTCTCAGATTGGAGCTCTTGTGCACAGCTCTCTTCACTTATTTCTCAAAAGACATCCATTCCTCGGTTGTCTGGATAGTCTGAAAGAGAGAGAGAGAGAGAGAGAGAAGCTGACTTTGTGCTTAGACTTCTAGACGCAGCGCTGTCATTAATGTCCTGCCATGAGCTCCGTGTCTGATAACAGGTGTGCCAGTTAAAGAGTAGCCCCTAATCCCCAGCATCCGGGAGAGTACAGTGTTTGGTAGGCAACCTTGCATGTTTCTGACCGGGACACAAAACGTCAGTGCAAAACAACAAACAGCATTTAAGACTGCCTTACTTTGAGAAGTTGTTCTGTGTCTAGGAAAAGTTTTTGCCAAGCTGCCAAAAAAAGCAATACTTTGTATTGAACAGGTCCAGTAAACTTCATTCCAACCAAGTTTCCAATAGTATCACATCAATCAAACTCTGTACAGGACAAGGCAGCACAATAGAGTAGTGCCACCCTGGCACTACAGTATGATTCATTAAAAAAAATTCACTCCGCCCGCCCCCCCAAATCCAACTCTCCTCCATCCGGCATCCAAACTAAACAGCAGTCGCATTTTTCCACCTCCCCACAAGTAAATGACGTCGTTTTTGATCGGGGTTGGGAACGGTTTTGAAAGCCAGCTACAGTTGGTCCGTCTGTTTATTCTTAAACCACAGAATCCTAGCTCGCTCCCACTTTTTCATTCGTCACCACCAAATTTGTCCGGGGGCAGGACCCAAAACCTGAAACGGCTGTAGAGCGTTCTTTACAGAGGCATCAGGCATCCTCTGAGTAGCACTGTGTGTAATATAACCCACTTACATACATGTAGCTCACACACACCAGGGAAGGACCTCAAATAGTGCTAAATCCACTAAGCACAAGTACAGCATGTGTAAGGCTACAGTGTAAACGACCCGGTGGCAAAAAGCCTTAACCTTAAGGATTAAGTGATCTGCAGCATTAAAAGTTTATCTGCCCCTTCTTGGATGCACCTTGACTGTGAGGCGAGATTAAATAGTGTTGGCTGGCTGTGGAAATGGACAGCTGTATGCACATGGGGGCACTAGATCCTGAGGTTTTTCACAAGAAAATAAATAAATAAAAATCAAACATGACAAGGATTCATGCAAGGAAATGACTCCCTCCATCCTTAAACTGTAGAACGAGTGTGACACGTTAGCACTTGAAAGTACATGCCTGGTAATGAACTTGAACCATCACTCTGAGCTGATCAAAGGATGAACAAAACAGAATGTGAATCAGAGGGAGATGATGGTGAATATTTTCTTACTCCGTTCCCCATTTCTCCTTCACATCCCACATCTAAAACCCTCACCAGATATTCAACTTCCACTAGCATCACTATGAGCCTATGGCAAGTATATTTCAGAGTTTGATTGCATCCAGAAACTAGAAAGTGAACTGGAGAGTAACTAAATAATGCTCTTTGCGGTGTCAAGACAGAATAAGCAGCTGCCTATGACACCAGGAGTCAGCATAAAGCTGGTTGTCGAACTTGTCACACTACTACTGATGCTTTTCTTGCTACGTTTTTTGCCACGCAGAAAGGGGCAGAGTACGAAAGGCTGAAAGGCGTGCCAACTCACAAACCTAAAGAGAGACACGTTTGCCTTCTGCTGCAACTTGAAATGGAGTATTGTGCGACTGTTTGGGGAGAACAACAAGACAAGTCTTCCTTTAAGCTGCAAACTACTGCGCACAGTCTGAACTCTCCCTCCCTCTCCCCCTTCAGTCCTCTGTTCTCCTCAATAGGCTTCCTACAGACCATCTGCTCAGAGGCCAAGGGACCACTGCCACCCCATCACTCCTCAATATGCCCCATGACCTGGCATTCTTCTTAGACTGCCCCTGTGTGACTCCCACGTAAGCACCATGTTTAGTCTGGCACCATGTGCGTCTTTGGTCTGAAGCTCAGGATAACGGCAAGGAATGGGCCACACCTTGACATGGTATAAACACAGAAGGTACATGAAGTGTTAAAGGAAGTAACTGTCTTTTTCCTTTGCGAAGACAGCCATGTATCTGTGCAACAGGAGCTATAAACTCTCCCTTACAGTCTGGATCAATTCCTTTTTAATTCTGACCCTCACGTCCTTGAATTTCAGCTTATAAAACAAAGCTGAGGAACAAACTATTGACACAGCAATGTGTGAAATGCAGGTCCATTCCCCAGAGAACAAAGCCGGACATTTTGATGCTGTTAGTGCAGTTTTTTTTAACCTACTCTGCCATAAAACCTTAAAGATGCAAACATCTTACTGGACGTTTTCGACTGTTTCCCAAAGAAGGTCATTCAGTAGTGTAATAAAGCTAGAATGACACTACGTTTAGTTAACATGTGGATCTGACAAAACAAATCATAACGATACAAATTGCCAAAGGAAAACAGTGGCCAAAATAATCTCAATCAAAATGAAGTAGGTTTCATGCTTTTTGAATGATTAGGCTGTGAAGCAGGAGCCATGAGGTCATTTGTTATTGGTAGAAACTGTTAACACAATCACACCGCCTTCCTCCTGTCAAATCATAGCCCATGGGACTTGCCTCTTATCACTTTCCTCTGGCACTGTGACAAGCAAGCTCTTAAAGAAGCAGTGTGCTTAAAGCCTCACCCTTTTAGATACAGCTTAAATTCAAACTTAAGCAAAATACACTTGTTGTTTACTGCAAAACAACAACAGGAAACCAAGAAGAAGAAAGACGTTAGTGGAGCCAAACAACAGGGGGCCTCCTGCTGAGTTTTTTGTCATATGAACTAGATTTAAAGTATCCTGTGGTTGTTTGCTTATGGGGAGAAATGTCCGTCTATGAAACACTCGCTGAAAGCCCATAATACCGTGTGTCGGATTCAGCCAAAGCCACCACACATCCATCAAAGTGCTTGTTAAGTGTCTTTCGGACCTTTTCTTTATACATTTAGAAGCTCTGCACCTGGCTCCTGACCAAAAATGACATGGCAGTCTTCTGAAAGATTTATACACGTATGCCACTGCTATTCCAGAGTGATGCCAAGAAAACTGAAAGGTTTTCAAACACTTTCCTACAGTTCACAGAACAAGCCTCCAGCAAGTTTCCCATGAGACACAAATAAGGTAAAACTCAGTTATTCTCAAGAGCGAACATAAGTCAGGCATAGCAGCAGGAGTGATAAAATCTGAGCCTGTGAAAGGTCACTTTGTTGTATCTTTATTTACAAGGCTACATGTTGAAGGATTTATACAGCAAAGCAGACTACATACGAGAGATAAAAACTAAAGTACAAACTGCTATAGAACAGGTACAGGTGGAAACTAAGCTGCACTCACACATGCAGTGTAGCCAACACCTGTGCATCTGGACAATAGGAAACACAATGCAATCTCTTCATCCCTGCCTCATCTTAATCCAGTAAACAGAGGAAACAAAGAGGAGCGGGATAAAACACGCTTACCCTAACCTCTGTGGTCCAGCCTTTAATCTAAAAGCTCTTTGAAGAGCTTGCAGAGGAGAAATCTCGCTGGTGTTCTCTGATCTCCAAGTGGATTCTCCCTGTGAAGGATTGTTGAGTCTTAAAGCAACACACACACACTGCATCTGTCTCACACCCATACGCACTAGAGGACACCAGAGGAAACTCCTTCCCGGCTTCAGAGCAACAGCAAATCACCATCCTTCTGGGGTAACCCTGGGTGATGCAGCGCCAAGAGGAAAAGCCAGAGAGCAGAGAGGAAAAAATGAAAAGTTCTCAATAAGAGGGCTCTCTGAGGAGGAGAAGGGCGTTTTATAGCACACGTCCATTTAGGCTCCACTGCCAAGAGGCTCCACTACTCCACATGATTGTTTTTCCTATAGCCCTGCTTTTCCATTGGCTAGGAGGAGGATACAGGGCTTGTTACAGCCAAGGCAGTTTTCCATAGCTGTCTGAGGCAACTGGGCGAGACCGGCTGTAGCGCTGCCTGGGAGGCACTGGGGGAGGCGCAATGACTGGAGTTCTTGTCTGACCCTCAATACCACAATGACCCCAGGAGGATGCCAGGGGGGCCGTCAGCTACTGGGGAAACAGACAAGGCATCTATATGTGTATATGCACGAGTGAGAGTGAGCCAGAGAATACGAGGTAAAGAGCAGGGCCAAAGAGGATTTTACACAGAAGGAAACTGAGATAGAGACATGGCTAAGCTGTTTGAAGATTTCCAGGGGCCAGAGGGGCCAAATGTGCATCTCATTTTGTGGAGAATTTAATTAAAACACAAAGTGAGTCAAAACCTTCTCTGGAATAGGAATTTTCTAAAAAGAACTCAAAGTGTTATGACTAAGCCCTAGCCCAGCGGAGACTAATTCGAGACGGCCGTCGGTCTAAAAAAAAAAAACGCATGCCTCTATTTGTCTGTGGCTCACATAACTGTGGTCACATAGTCAAACTGGACCCAGTGAGTAAGCCACACCAGAACACAACACAGCATCAGAACTGGACACAGCATGTCCCAAAAGCTGTTCCCAACCTCCTCATGAGCCAGCTGTTTATTTCAGAGTAACTGCATGGATATTATTAGTGTTCAGGGGCATGTCACAGCACTCAACACATGGAAAACAAGCACGCCTGTGTAACTAGAATGCTTAATCGGGCTGTTCTTTAGAAATTCGTCCTGCCCTGTATAGCAAGTCAAAGTCATGTCCATGCTGTATAAGCAGCTCTGGAACTGTCTTCTCTCAGCCTGCTGCTGGACATCAAGACATCAGCTCTGCGACACAATATCAAGCGTTCACCAGGGCTAAACAATATTGTTAACAACACAATAGTCCTCGTGGCATAGTCTGAGCTGCGCTCAAAGCCCTTTGTCCAGCTGTAGATGGAGGCAGCTAAAAGGCTGATGAACAACATGCTCAGAGAAACTGGGAGGCACAGAAAGAGTGGAGCAACAAGACAAACATACAAACACAGCGGTAAACCGCTGTGATGCATATTCATACAGAGCAGGTGCTGGGCCCAATTCCACCCAGCCAAATGGTCTGACACCTATTTAAGATCAGTTAAGGCCCCAACATGCTCTCCAGGGCCAAATT